CGTAGGCGTTGAATACCTTTTTAGGCCACCATTATATAATGTGGCGTGGGAATGGTGCATCTCGCGTGTCGCCGCGTCCCAAGTACTGTCGCCGTATGCCAGCACACAGAGCGATGACATATGTACGGGGGCGATACTCATGGAGAGCCTGACTACTTATCATTTCTGCGAGCTTATTTATGGCTAAGCATGACCTGCACTTAACAGTCAATCAGACAAAAACGCGCAGGCGTCAGCGCTACTGTCCACGTGAGCATTGAGCCAGTCAGATTGATCATCAAGCGGCAGATGGCAGAGGATCTCAAGGGCCCCACAATTTGAGCTAATCTTATGCTCGGCTCCTCCTTCTGACAAAACACCCAGTGATAGCTTCCCTTCGACCCTGCTCGTGCGAGTAGACACCTTCATGGTCATGGAATATGGTCAGTGCTGCTCGAAATTTCGATACAGGCTCGCACACACACGACCAGGTTAGCAGCTCTTGAAGTCGGCATTAATCACAGCATCAGGAGCGTTGAACGCGCATTTCTCTCTTTCACGTACACCATGCACGGAGCTTCCTTACGGTGGCGGACTTCATTCGCCGCACAGGATGTCGTTCGAGGGGTCGTCGGGAAGGCAACGCGCAGCTAATCGCTTGCGCAGCCCACGCGTCTAAGTTATTCATGACATTGATACGAGAGCTTTTCACGCTAGAAGGGTGCTCGCCTTTAAGAATACATCTCGAGTCAAACAGCCTGCACACGCGGCATCCTGGTCGCTCTTCCGTGCACCATGGTTCGGTTTCATCTGTGGGCTGCCCTTGGATTCGGAATATCTCTTGTTGCTGCCGGTCCATCTCTGTCGTCTCGTGTCGCACATGAAGTTCGTCGATCTGCTCCTGCTCATTGGACGCCAGCGCGCCGCGCTGAACCTGGCGCGCTCCTACCGTTGCGCATAGCGTTGAAGCAGAACAACCTGGATAACCTAGAGGAATTTCTGCTCGATGTCTCGCATCCCGCGTCACCGAACTACGGCAAATACTGGACTCCGGCCAAAGTTGCACAGTCCTTCCGGCCTTCATCCGAAGCTGTCGATACAGTACGCATGTGGCTCATCGACTCAGGACTCGAGCCCGCCAAGATCGCGCTCAGCCCGACGGGTGGTTGGATCCACGCTACAGTTACTGTCAGCGAGGCAGAGTCTTTGCTGGGCACAGAGTATTACGTCTACCACTCAAAGCGAGGTGATGAGCAGCACATTGCATGCGAGGGCACGTACCACTTGCCTGAGCACGTCTCGAAGCACGTAGATATCGTCACGCCTACTCTTCACTTTGATGCAAAGGTGAAGAGGAGCGCGTCCGCCCCAGTTAAAGGAACTTTCCAACCGTCTGTGGCTCATAAGCTGGTTGGTCCTGTCGAGGTTCGTATCATATTTGACCCCTTGTCCTGTCCTGAGGTGGTAGTTCTAGAATGTCAATGTGTCCACGGAGTTGGAGGACTGCAACAACCAGATCACCCTGCCGTGCCTCCGAGCCTTGTATAACTTTTCATATACCCCTGTTGCAGCTGAAAGGAATCGGCTCGGGATCGGTGAAGTTTGTTAAAATTCATTGAGGGAACATAGCTCATATCGCTCGATAGCGGAATATATTGGACAAGTATACAACCCAGAGGACCTCGACCTGTTCTTCCAGAATTACTCCAAGAGTCAAGTCGGCGAACGGCCAATACTTGTCAGCATCGACGGCGGTGAGTCGTCTTTTCCGCGTCAAATTTTGCCGAGGATACTGAGGATGCGAGCGACCGAATCAAGGTACTCTCGAGACCAACAAGACCGGCCTCTCGGTCTTCGGCGAATCCAATCTCGACTTTCAGTACTCCATGGGTCTTGCAGGCAAGGGGCAACCAGTCACGCTCTACCAAACCGGCGATCCCATCATCAGTATGTTCGGGGCCCCTTGTCCACCAAGGCCAAGGCCAGTCACTAATACAATCATGTAGACGGCACCTTTAACAACTTTTTGGATGCCCTCGATGGGTCGTATTGCACGTTTGAAGGTGGGGACAACAAGACAGTCGACAGCACCTATCCCGACCCCGCTCCGGGAGGCTTCAAGGGTGCGTATCTAATCGACATCAGCATCCTGCGCAATCAAAAAGCTCAATTTAGATAGGTCCTACACAATGCGGCGGCGCACCTTTACCCTACGTTCTCTCCACATCCTATGTCCATGACGAAACAGACCTTTCCGCTGCGTACATGCAGCGCCAGTGTGCTGAGTATGGTAAGGTACTGCCATTCATTTTCCTTCCGCCATTGCAGTTCTCATGTCCTCGGATTAGTTGGGCCTGATGGGCGTCACAGTACTGTACGCTTCCGGAGATGGGGGTGTTGCCGGAAATGATGGCAAGTGTATGACCCAAGACGGGCTTCCATCCGCCAATGGAACCCGCTTCATGCCGGGATTTCCTGCGGAGTGTCCCTATGTCACCGGTGTAGGTGCGACGCAAGTCAATCCGGGCGCCAAGGTAAGTGATACTCCTTAAGTCGATCCTCGAAAGATCAATATCTGTAAAAATACCAGGTGACCGATCCCGAGGGCGCCTGCGAACAAACCATATTCTCTGGAGGAGGATTCTCGAACGTTTTCGCCATGCCCGACTACCAGAAGGATGCCGTCCAGAATTATCTGGAGAAATTTCCTCCTCCGTATGGTGCCGATAGGTATAATAACTCTGGTACTTCACGTGCATTCCCGGACATTTCGGCGAACGGGTAAGCCGTGTATCAACATCAGGATCGCTTTGTGTCTCTGACATCGGATCAGCGCAAACTTCCTCATCGTAGTTCAAGGCAAAGCCTTACGTGTCTCCGGCACGTCTGCGTCTTCTCCAGTTTCTGCTGCGATCTTGTCTGCGGTCAATGATGCGCGCTTCGCGGCGGGCAAGGGTCCTATTGGCTTCATCAACCCAACGGTATGCCCCTGAGTGTTCAATCGGATTTGACACTCAATGTCGTGGGTCAGATCTACTCCTCTGCATTTGATGGCGCCTTCAATGACATTACCACCGGTTCGAACCCTGGGTGTGGAACCAACGGATTCGCCGCGCAACCGGGGTGGGATCCTGTCACGGGTCTTGGTACCCCCAACTTCCCCGAGTTGCTATCAAGATGGCTCGCATTGCCTTGAGCGTAGAGTGCAATATTACACGAGAACGAGCCACTGTGCATCATGGATCCTGACAGACATTGCTTTGCACTCTCATTCCTTTTGACCCGTCTCGCTCCTTATAGGACAGTACAGTCTCAATCGATACCCGGATGCACTAGCCCCGCTTGTATCGCTGGAATCATAATGAAACATGCGTCTTGGACGCAACGCAAAAAACATGTCGTATGGACATTGAGTTCTACGCCCGCCAGACCTCAATTCGTGCTGCTGCTCAATGGGCGGTCCGCGGTCCGGCATGCTCCGAGCTGACCGGACTTCGCATTCAAGTTTCCTTGCTTACTCTGTCAGCGCCACCTGTGTCGGCGAATCACTTCGCGATATTTCTTTTTACAGATATGCGGAACGCTGCGCTTCAAACGTGCACAAATAATCGACCATGCCTTGTCTCCCCTTGTCCGAATTCCTAGGCGGCGTTTATCTCCCCCTCAGGTGGTCTACCACACGGAAGACGATTTTCAGGTGAAGACCTTCGGAGGACCCAACGTGTGTTCAGGGAAAATGGTGTATAGTGTCGACAGCTTGCTCAAGTTGGGATTACCACATCTAGGGATACTCGTGCGTTTCACTTCATGAGTTGAAGTCAATCATGTCGTTCATGACCATCATTGAATGTGTGTACTTCTTCTAGGGTCCTCACAAGGGTGCCTCAGAGTCCT